AAAGTAGCCACCCTCCAGAGGGAAGGACAGTGTCAGCATGAATACAGAGATGATTTGAGGATCTACAACCAAGTGGTACACAAATAAGCTACATTTTTTGTTAACCTCCCTGACGGTATTCCCGAGTGTAGCTCGGGGTTACATTTCCTTACCAGGAGCGGTAACCCCGAGCCACACTCGGGAATACACTGTATTCTCACTTACCTCGTCCCTCGATCCCTGCTGTGTCATCTCGCTGTCTCCTTCGCCCGATGCCAGCATCTGTCTTTCTCGTACGCTAGCGTCAGCATCGCAGGGGGACAGATCCGGTGGGAAATTCAAACGTAAAAGCACCCAATACACACATAACACACTGTAATACATGTTATCCAGTGCTATTACATTACTATATCAAATTATTTCACCTCAGCTTTGTCGCTAGAACTTTTTCCAGTGCCCTGCCTGCACTTTTACTATTCTTTTTGCCTGCAAAACTTGAAAACGTCCATGGCATCCATAAAGTGTCCACTGAGGTCAAAAGCGGTTTTTGAGCAGCTTGAAAACAGAGATAGTGATTTGGAATCACTTGTAGAATTGAGCGATAACGATTCACGGGGAAGTTTGTCGTCAGTGAAGGTGACGACAGCGACGATTCTGCGACCGAGCTCAGTGATGTGTGAACTTGGTGCTCTATTGATTGTGGTACTGATCACGCAGCGCCCCCAAGATTCCCATTTACTGGAGCATCTGGTATGAAAGTTGATGTTGAATGTGACAACCCCTTGGCATACCTTCAATTATTTCTGAAGAAATAGTTACCAAGACAAACCGGTACAATGAGCAACAATCATCTACTCTGCAGCGGAAGTTTTCCAGAAACAGAAAGTGGGAACCAGTGACGAAAGATGACATCTGGAAATTTCTGGGCCTGATAATACTTCAGGGAGTGGTGGGGAAACCCCTGCAGAAGTGGTATTGGACAACCAATAAATAACTTGCCATTCCATTCTTTGGCACGGTCATATCAGAATATAGGTTTACCCTCATCATAAAGTTTTTACACTTCGCAAACATAATAATTCAATGAAACTACTCATCCTGCACCAAAACTGAGAAAAATTTGGAAGGTATCCCAAATGATAAAGAATTTCCAGCAGACCTATGTGCCAGAAAGAGACAGCATAAATGAAAGTCTAATGGCCTACAAGGGAAGGCTCAAAGAGAGCACGAGCACGATTTGGAGTAAAATCCTATATGCTATGTGAATCATCAACTTGCTACATTTGGAATTCAGTGATATACACTGGAAAAGGAACCAAATTCGATCAAAAATACAGCAGCTATGGACTGGCACAGTCCATAGCTGGGAGAGACATCATAAAGCCACAAGTAGTGATAGACTACAATAACACCATGGGAGGTGTCGACAGAGCTGACCAAGCAATGACATTCTACCCAGCAATGCGGAAACAGCAAAATAAGTATTACAACAAGATCTTCAGGCATCTTCTTGAGCAGTGCTTGTGGAATGCCTACATTCTTCTCAAAAATGTGGACTTAATTTGGAAAGTTGCCAAACTAATCTTCTTGAACCACCAAACACCATCAGTAAATGGATCTGGACGTCATGGTGTTGGCGTTGTCAACCCAGAACGCCTGACTGGTCGTCACTTCATGGACCACATCCCACAAACAGAGAAAAGTCAGCACCTACAAGGATGTGCGTGGTTTGTTGCTCGAAGCGCGATGAAGGTGGAAAAAAAATCAGAAAATAAACCAGGTTCATTGTCCTGATTGTGACGTCGGACTTTGTGCTGTCCCATGTTTCAAAATCTATCATACCCGAGATGTTTACTAAAGTAATATTGCACCCTTGTTTGGACAGATGTCAGCGTTTTTGGTTTGAATACATTATTTAATTAAATGTATTATTATATTATTATTTTGTGTAATTATTTCTAATTATTTATTATATTATAATTTATGGTTTTGTATTTCAAACTTTATCATACCCAGGATGTCTACTAGACTCTTGTTTGGACAGATTTAGGTGAGTTATTCCTAAAATTTACTAAGAATTACAGGCCTGCAATATAAAACAACAAATTGCCATGAAAAACAATGTACCGCTTTGGCATGCTAAAATCCTGCATAATCAGACCGCCAGGGAGGTTAATAGTTATGATACTTGAATGCATTTTTGAGAGTTAATTCCTGAGTTTAGTGTCACTTTAAATAACATTTCTAGTAAGAAACCGCTAAAGAGACAATCCTGCTGTCATTCTGTAAGCAGTTCTGTGTTTCAAACAGGGTATGTCTAATCCATGGAAGAGGCCTTGAATTTTTCTGCAATAGAAGAGGCCAGTCTCAGGTCTTCCATTACCATTGTTACCTGAAATTCCAAGAGGAATACTTTTGTGCATACATGATGATGGTCCTTTTTGCTTATTCTATTCTTGGTGCATCTGTAAGTAGCACAGGCAGTATAGTATAAGCGTGTCCCCAGCAAATTGAGTTTTGTTAAACTTTTATTTAACTCCAGCCTCTAGGAATTGTGAACTGGCAGGTAAAAGCACTCCCTAACTTTTAACGTTTACTACTAATAACATGAAAATGTAAACGGTTTTTCTTTTCTACAATAAAAGGTGTACAAGAACAGGACACAGTTTCTAGAACAGATTTAGAAAAATACTTCAGAGTTTGTCTGTGGTAATAAAAGTAGGCATTAAATTCAATGCATTGAATTACAGTATATTTCCTACGTACGTTTGGCTCAATCAGTAATCAAGTACATCAAATGCATAAAAGAAAATATATTTAACTAAAGTAAATTTTAAAAAAGTCCCAAAGTATCAAACAGTTTAATTTATAACACATTTTTCAGGAGCATCAGCCTTTGCATACATGAAATGCATGATTTAAACCCTAAGGATAATCATTACATATTGTTATATCGAAATGCAGTAATAACCATTTAAAATCACTTCTGGGTTCTATCTTTTCTATTGAGACACAAGGTAGCAGATTAGACTTCAGACTTGTAATGGGTGGAAACAGGTCCTACTCAGGCAGCATACAGGATAGGGACGGCCTTGGGTGGAAAAATGTAGACCTGACCGTGATCTGATTTTGGTAAAAAGGAGGTTACCCTAAATCAGTTATATTGGAATACCAAAATTACAGGCTGTCACATCTGATCCATTTAATTTATATAATTTGTATATTGAGTCAATCCCTGAAATTCATAACAGTATACGAACTCGGCACAAGCACTGCCATTTGTGGTGGTGCCAAGGCACACTGGGGGGAATTCATAGAAACTGGAGCAGCATTTTCAAAGCATAAATGAACAAACTGAAAATGGATGCCGATTGGTTGCCATAGGCACCTGCTCCAGATTCTGTCTGCTCTAGTTTGTTCATGCCACACACTGTGTCCTCAGTGCAGATCAGTAACAAAGCACCTGATAAAATTGCAGTTGTGAGAGTTCTGTCCTTGCACAGGCAGGCGCAGCAGCCAATAGCTGATTTCGGTGGGCACAGCTTGAGGGGGAACTCAGAGAATAATTCCCCATTGGGTCCTCCTCTCTTGTGATTGGCAGCAGGGCATAGTTGATAAAAGACTTTGATATGAAATCTGCCCACTGTCTGCATTCAATCACTGTCAAGGTGGACATGATGGGGAACTAGTCCCTCCAAGTTCTCCATCAGGCTCTGCCCACTGTCGGCATTATTGGTTGCTAAGAGGCTATGCAGCCAACAGCATCTTATCAACCAGTAACTCATCCCCAACCCAATTCCCGAGACATACCAGCCACAGCTGAATGTAAACATGGGACAGAGGATGCTGGTTGACATTATTACCCAAATACGGACATAGGGGTGTGCAATCAGTTGCTAGGATGCCAGTGACTTGGTATCCTAGCACCCAGTGAACCATGAGAGGGACGCTGTCATTGATGACAGCTCCCAGCATGTACATGCCCCACTCTGGGCACTGGCATCTCTCTGTACACCAGATCAAATTTTTATTACTGCCAGTTTCCCAATCTGTAAACTGATGGTTATTCTTTTTGAATCTGTCACAGCCATGGCGGCGGGATCTTACAGTAGAGGTAATACAAGCTACCTGAATCTGACACACATGTTGGAACTGCAGGTAAAACTGTTGCAAGGTTTTCATCAATTAAGGAGACCATACTGTTGGAAAGATGTACATGCTTTATTGAAACCCCCCTAATATGTTAATCCCTGGCAACATTTGAGTGTAATTACTATGACACTGGGTCTCTGAGTACAGGATTACTATATGCTATGTGCTTTATTTGTATATATCTACTATATCTACACTATATGTGCTATATATTTTTATGTATTTTTGTTCATTGATAGTGTATATTGTGTCATTGCTATTTATTTGTATATTGTGTCACGTAAGCTAGAAGAAAATAATATATGGTGGTGTGGTCCTGCTCCAGATTACGGTGCTAATTTTTAATCTGAAGTGGAAATAAAGAGAATCTTTTTATGTCAGGGATGCTGGTATATTTCTGCTTCGGTGTGTAATCTTGCAAGAAGGGTGTTTGCATACTTTGGCGGAGGATTTAAATCTCTCAGACAAGCATTTTTTTCTAGGTTAGAAAGCCAGTATCTGATAACCACACTGGGCTTCAGACCATAAAACCACACTGCCAGTTATGGGGGAGCAAAGAATAAGATCAGTTTTGCCATAATAGGTACAGAGTTTGGAATACTTAAAGTATGTCTACATATTCTTATTGGGACACATGCTTTATTATAAACTGCCTATGGGATTTCCCCTTACTTCCTGTTCTGTTTCCAGTAGAGAAAATACAGTAAATCCCAAAAAAGCACATAGGGAAAAAAACAAAAATCTGGCACAGTTTTAACTATTTTCTACTTTGCTGGCTTCAGATATACTTTTAACAACATGCTTTAAAATACCGCACTACATGCAGTTTTATTCAAGCCTTATAACTGTGTGAAATCTTAAAATCTTACCTTTAAGAAAACAATCTTCACTGTGAACCATAAATATTTTTTGCTTTTTATGGCAAGCTGCTTTGTGGACTTCACAGTGATTTTCATAGAACTCTCCGTCTGAGCCACAGACAGGCTTGTAATGAGGTTTACAGTGTTCCATACATGCACACTCTGCTTGTCTGCTCTCCTGGTTAATTACACAATGTCTTCCAAGGCCACAATACTTGTTTTCACAAGATCCTTGTCCATCCTCATGATCAAAATAACCTTTAAAGGAGAAGAAAGGCAAAGACAACTTAGTTTTGTTTCAAACAAACAATACAACTTTTGATAAGAAAAGTTATTGTAAGCTTTGCTGTATTACCACACTGTACACAACAAACCTTTAGATGGAAATTACCTGGACTCTCAGAAAAGAAAAAGGTTCACTGCACATGGTTTTGCAAAATGAACTAATGGAAATCTCTAGCAATAAGCAAATCCTCTGTCAGTCAATAACAAGGAACAGCAAAATGGTTAATTGGTTTTCCTGCCAGTATGATAATGAAAGCAAATCAATATCTGTAATATTTATTTTCCTACAGTTTTAGAACAAGGTCAGTAATGGAATCTCCTTAATGAAAAGTTTATAGGAAAGAAAAATGAAAACTCAATTACAGCCCTCTTTAAAATATGCAAAATCTCAAGGCACCCCAGTCTAAAATGTAAAAAAAAATGTGAGGCCTCTCTTAAATCCTTACCAGACCCTTATCCAATATAGGGAAGATCCCATGCAAAAATACAAACAAAAATTAGTTTCTCCCTTAACATCACTAGCCCCCATTCACATCAGAATCCCCCCTTTCACATGAGAGTCCTTCCTATACATCAGAAGCACCCTACTTTTGCATCAGAGACTCCTCCTCCCCCCAAATCAGGGGGGAGGAATTTGGCCTAAAGTTTGGGTCCGCTGACATCAAGGGCCCCGGATCAGCTGCATCCTGCTCATTGTCTTTATCATCATCTGAGTCTAGAGAGTAGGATTCTGGTTGATCTGGAATAGGCAAGTCCTCACCATGGGATACAGGACGTAGTATGGAAGGAATGTTTGGATATTCCACGGTCCACTTCTTCTTTCTTGAGATCCCTTTTGCAATTGGGGGAAACATGCAAAAACAGCAATTGCTACTATGATTGGTGGGTTTTCTCCACACCATTGGGACTGTGAAAGGCATGGACTTTTTCTTCTTGTTTAGCCAATGGCACAGATAAGTTGCACATGTAATGCAACGATAGTGAGGAGCCCAACTCTTGTCCTGATCCCCTATTTTGCATTCAAAATATAGGTGGTATGCCTTTTTACCACTAACGTCATACAGCACTAGAGCTGCAACAACGATTTGATTTAGTCGATTAAAATCGACGATCGAAAATGTTGTCAACGTCCCGCATGCAGCGCACACCATGCCCACCGACCACGCGCGCCCACCGCACATGCGGCAGTCCAGCCCCTGGCTCTCCTCCAATCCCGGCGCTCCTCACATCTAGCTGGGCCGGTGCGATCACATGACGGGTGCCGGGGATGTGAGCGCGACAGGTGTCAGCCTGGGGATGGAGACTATGCCTGGGGACGAGCTGGCATCCAGGCTGAACCGTTCAGCAGAAGACATGGAGGAAATGTTCAGACAGTAAGTGCCCCCAAGCCCCCCGGAGCCTGGGACCCGACACCGTGCACCCCATTGCACCATCATACCCATCCTCTGCACCCTATTCCACCATCATACCCATCCTCTTCATCCCTGCACCCCAACCCACCATCATGCCTGTCCTATGCACCCCATTCCACCATCATACCGATCCTCTGCACCCTATTCCACCATCATACCCATCCTCTCCATCCCTGCACCCTGAACCACCATCATACCCGTCATCTGCACCCCATTCCACCATCATACCCATCCTCTGCACCCCATTCCACCATCATACCCGTCCTCTGCACCCCAACCCACCATCATACCCGTCCTCTGCACCCCATTCCACCATCATACCCGTCCTCTGCACTCCATTTCACCATCATAACCATCCTCTCCATCCCTGAACTCCATTCCATCATCATACCCATCCTCTCCATCCCTGCACTCCATTCCATCATCATAACCATCCTCTGCACCCCATTCCACCATCATACCCATCCTCCCTATTCCATCAACATACCCGTCCTCTGCACCCCATTCCACCATCATACCCGTCCTCTGTACCCCATTCCACCATCATACCCATCCTCTGCACCCCATTCCACCATCATACCCATCCTTTCCATCCCTGCACTCCATTCCACCATCATACCCATCCTCTCCATCCCTGCACTCCATTCCACCATTATACCCGCCCTCTCCATCCCTGCACCCCATTGCCCCATCATACCCCTCCTCTCCATCCATGCACTCCATTCCACCATCATACCCATCCTCTCCATCCCTGCACTTCATTCCACCATCATACCCGTCCTCTCCTTCCCTGCACTCCATTCCATCATACCCGTACTCTGCACCCCATTCCACCATCATACCCATCCTCTCTATTCCTGCATCATACCCGTCCTATCCATTCCTGCATCATACCCGTCCTCTCTATTCCTGCATCAAACCTGTCCTCTCTATTCCTGCATCAAACCCGTCCTCTCTATTCCTGCATCATACCCGTCCTCTCTATTCCTGCATCAAACCTGTCCTCTCTATTCCTGCATCAAACCCGTCCTCTCTATTCCTGCATCATACCCATCCTCTCTATTCCTGCATCATACCCGTCCTCTCCAATAACGCCAGCTATAGAAGAATACATCAGATCCCAGCAATAGTACATTATAGTATAATTACTATTACTGCAATTTGCTGTATTCCTCTATAGCTGCTAGTATTCTGCATTGAAACGCTGTATAATGTACTATACTGCACACCACACTTTTTTTTACTTCCACCACTCCAAGCTTGCTCCCGTGATGGACTACAATCTCAATACAAACTAGTAGTCCATCACTGGAGCCTTTTAAAAAAAAATCTGATTAATCGAACTTAATAATTGGCTAACTAAGCGATTATGAAAATATTCGTTAGCTGCAGCTACTGCACTATTGAGATGCAAATGTAACCTTGCCCAAAATGTAGCAGAAGTTATCTGAATTGTTTACACAATTTCGAGGCATCTTGGCTTCTGAGAGAAAATATCACACAACTGTTCCTTGGAAATGTTAGGCAATGACACTTTCACAAGCCACCAGATGTAACTGTATGATGCGTAGTTCTGACTAAGACAAATGTACCTTGCAATACAAGAACAATAAATTACAGTTAGGTAATAACCTTTAGTCTCAAAGTGAAGCTACATTTATAAACTTCCATGCGGTATCGTTTTCATTGTTCTACTGTAATTTGTCGAGAAGTTATGAGGTATCACGATCATCAGACACTTCACTCCCTTGTTGGCAAATATGGCCTGTGTATAAATCTTTATTGTGAAATATCTTGAAAACTTTAGCCAACCAGCATCTTTATTACCTGTTTTCAAATTCATCTAATCAAAATATGTAAACATTAACACATTTTATCTTGGAGGTCGATCATTTCCCAACATTTGTAGACTAGTGTAGTAGGAGAATACCTACGAATGACTGAACAAGGTAGGGAGCTACCCGCCAACCATCTCTGCCCCCTCTCGGGGGCCATAAGGGGTGGCAAGAATGTACATGTACACCTGTATCAGGTGTGGGTATCCTCAATCAGCTTGTCAAACACTAAGGGATGGAAATGTAAACAGTAACCGGTGGAAATTCAGTATTGTAAAGTATTGGGGTCATGGGGCCCAGGCATGAGGCTACTAGGAGTTTTCCCCAATGTGGTCCAAAATTAGTAGTGTGTCTGTTATGATTTAGAATTCACAGTCAATTTTTGACATGCAGGATTTGGATATTCAAGGAACTATGCCACACGGAGAGTCATTCCTGTTCCCTTCTAAAGCAGCCCATTAGATAGAGGAAGAATGGCATTGACAATCTACAATTCTGGTTAAGAGGCAGGCTTTATTGTATAGCCTAAAGTCGGGCAGATCAACTTCTTCATGCCACATTATGTCGGATGGTACATGAATGTTTAATTGACTGTTTGACTGTCTGCTTCTAGCAGTTTGCGATCTCTTCTGATTACATGAGCATTGCAGTATAGAAATCTCCATTAATAGATTCTGAAAGTGAAGATACTAAATTAAACAATTGTCCTTTACTCATTGTCTCCAGTTAGAATGTAGGTACAGACATGCTAAATGTTATTAGTACAATGTTCAAACTGGCCTAGATCTTTTTTGACAGTTCTAAAAACACTAGGGAAAAAGTCACAGATATTAGGATGTTTGCAAAACTGCTTGATTTAAAAAAATGCATGCTGGGAGCCAAACCGTTTTTTTAAAATTGTAATAGATGTGGTTAAACTGCAGAGGAAATGTCCTAAGAAGCACAAAATATGTATAGAAACATGTTGGAAAACATCAGTGGTTTTCAAACAGCTGATCTCTAATGTTAAAGTCTAATTATTTAATTTAAAAATGCTGTTTTCAATTATATATATATATAAAAAAAAAAAAATGCTGTTTTCAATTATATATATATAATATAAAATAGCATACATTGCATTTATTGTTATCTTTATGTATATATTATTACCTATTTAGAGATGGGTAATACAGTATAGAGTGCTAAAACTGTACAGATCCCCTCCCAACTACATTGAAACTCCTGTGCCAATAGTCTTCATTCCACTTGAGGTATTCTGTACAGGGAAGTTAATGGATGTGACAAATTTCAAAAAGACAGGAACAAGCAATGTGAGCAGAAAGTGAATGCAATCGTCAGAACTAGTCCACTGTAATAGCTCACACACAATGTATCTAGAGATTCAGCTTGAAATTTCTATTTTATTTGAATGAATATTGTTCTTTAAAGAGATGCTGTCTTCACAGCAGAAAAAAAAACTGCTGCAAATATAAAGCACAGGGCCTTAGGCTACACATTAACATTAGCTGCAATTAGATGTGTTTTTAGGCATTTTTCAGAGATGATTTGAGGCTCTACAGCCAAGTGATACACAAATAAGATACATTTTTGTTAATAGGGTACATGAATGCATTTTTAAGATTTAACATCTGAGTTTAGTGTCACTATATTCTCCCTGTAACATACTCTCAATATATGCTTCTACAGTTCCATTTCATATGGTAATATCCAAAATTAATTGGATTAT